GAGGAGGAGGAGGAGGAGGAGGAGGAGGAGGAAGGGAAGGAGAAGGGATGATGGAGAAGGATAAGAAGAATGGGTCAGAGGAGGAGGAGAGGAGCAGGAGGAGCAGATAAAGAATGATGGAGAAGGAAAAAAGTGTAGGGGGACGAAGAGAGGAGGAGGAGGAGAAGGAATAGAAGGAGGAGTAGGAAAAGAACGGGAGGAGAAGGGGAAGGAGAGGAGGACGTGAAGGAGGAGGAGGGAAAGAGAACAATTGGGGGAGAAGGAAGAGGTGGAGAAGGAGAGGTTGGGGAGGAGGAAAGGGGGGGGGGATAAGGAGAAGGAGGAGGAGCAAGTGGAGGAAGGGAAGGAGAAGGAATGATGGAGAAGGATAAGAAGAATGGGTCGGAGGAGGAGGAGAGGAGCAGAGAAAGAAGGAATGATGGAGAAGGAAAAAAGTGTAGGGGGACGAAGAGAGGAGGAGGAGGAAGAAGAAGAAAAGAACGGGAGGGGAAGGAGAAGGAGGAGGAGAGGAGGAAGTGAAGGAGGAGAAGGGAAAGAGAACGATTGCGGGAGAAGGAAGAGGTGGAGGAGGAGGGGGGAAGGGCCCCATCTGCAGATGTGCTGAGCAGAGGGAAGGAGGGAGGGAGGCCAGGTCTGCCCTGGACGGTCACATGGGTGTGCGTGTGTGTTTCTGTGTGCACGGTGCATTTCCTCCTGCCATAAACAAAGGCAGGGCTGCATGAACACAACATCAGATCAGCTCCGCGTGGGGCTTCAGCTGCTAAAGTTGTGGGCATCGGCCCGAACACAGGAAGCTGGGGTGGGGGCACAAGGGCACCCTTCTCATGCCCTCTGCCATGGCTGCACACTACCATCTATCCTGTGTGCCTGGGGAGGGCAATGTTGCCCAGCGAGGAGCTGCAAAATTTGCCCTACCACCGCAGCACCCCCAAAGGTGGGGCTTCGGCCCCCTTGATCCCCCAATGCAGCCGGGCTTTTGGTCTCATGTGGGGAGATCCTGGCCGGGTTTGAGGGGGGGGTGTACACTCGGATTTGAGGGGCAAGAAGGGAGGAAGGCTGAGATGAGGAGCCCCCCTCCCATCTGTAACGCTAGCTAGATAAATATTGCTCAGCTTAGCAATTTGAAGATCGCTGGACTTCAACTCCCAGAATTCCCTTGGGTGGTTTCTGGCAGACGTTTCATGACCCAACTAGGGAACATCATCAGGGCAAGAAGGGAGTGGGGATTTCAGGGGGGAGGAGGAGCAGAAGAAGGGAAGGAGGATGAGGAGGAGGAGAAGGAGGAGGAGGAGGAGGAGGAGGAGGAAGGACAATTGTGGGGTCCTTGATGCTCTCTAAGCTTAGTTATTTAAAAAGAGCTTATGGTGGTTCAGTGGTTAGAGCAGTGTTTCTCAACCTTGGCCCACCTGAAGATGCGTGGACTTCAACTCCAAGAACCCCCCAGCCAGCATTCGCTGGCTGGGGGATTCTGGGAGGTGAAGTCCACGCATCTTCAGGTGGGCCAAGGTTGAGAAACACTGCTCTAACCACTGAACCACCATAAGCTCTTTTTAAATAACTAAGCTTAGAGAGCATCAAGGACCCCACAATTGTCCTT